GAGTTGGAGTTGGAGCTGGGGTTGGAGTTGGAGTTGGAGCTGGGGTTGGAGTTTGGTGTTGGTGTTGGAGTTGGTGTTGGTGTTGGAGTGGTCCATTAATTGTTATAATTTTCTATTAATTGTTTTTTGGTGGTGATGTAATGTTTTGATTATGAGTTTTGATATATAATATATAATATTTAATATTTTCTTTATTCTTTGCATAAATTTTGATAATTCTGTATTGATGGTGAAAGGGGTGAGCTATTTGAGGTTACACTTGGATAACTATTTAGGCATGCATTGGAGATTGTGCTAATTGGGGAACAAGTTTCTGATCCATTTCTTGAAAAAATAATTGATGATTTGGCCATATCATCGTATTATTATTTTTTCAAAGACAATTTGGATTCTGACTCTTTTAATTTTAAACCTAGTTCTAAAATTTGTTTATCGGCAACTTTTTTTATTTCAGATAATTGTTCCGATGCATTCTCCAATCTTTCTTCGGCACGTACTTTTAAGAAATTAAATTTCTTTACTTGAACTTGGACTTCGGTATTGAGTTTTGAGTTTGTTTCTTCAAGTTGAATATTTTTCTGAATTAAAAGAATAAAATAAAATTAAAAAAAGATATTAGTAAAATGAAAAATATTTTTATATTATTAAATTTTAATTAACAATTATTAAATCATTAACTATTAGTTTTTATATATGTTTTTTATTAATATTTATTTACCTTTTTTAATTGATCATTTTCTTCTAATGCATTTCTTAATTTATTTGATTCTGATTCTGCCAAAGGTTTTTCTAATACCCCTTTCATTGTATTTTCATATTCTGATAACAAGACTTTTAGTTTTGAGGATTTAATTTGTTTTTTTACCAATTTTAATTTCATAGCCTCATTTTCTTTTGATAGAGTTGCTTTTTCATTGGAAAACTAAATATTTTTAAAAAATAAAAATTAATAAATTAATATATATAGTTTAATGTTATATGAAACTTACATTCATGAGATGCTCCATCTTTTGCTTCTCTAAAAGACGATCTACATCCTCTTTGGAAAACATTTTGCTATTATTATTTTGTTGTTGTGGACAATAATAATAATTAATGATGATGGTGGTGATGAGGGAATTAAAAATTGAATATAAAAAAATAAAGAAAACAATAACTAAATTATCTAATGAAAACATTTTTAATGATTATTATATAAAGAAGTGGTGGTGATTAAATATATAAAATATGTGGTAATGTAAAAAAATTAATGATATACTGAATACAAAAGAATTTATAGTTTTGGTATGCTTTAATTTGAAAAAAAAAAATTTTGAAAAAAATTATAGTATTATATAAAAAAGAAAAATAAAATATGATAAAAAGAAAAAAAAAATTAAAAAAAAAAGAAAATATAACAAAATAAAAATTATAATTATTAAATTATAAAAAAATTAAAAAATTAAAAAAAAATAAAAAATAATAATGTTCTGTTTAATTTAAAATTTTTAATAGTACTCATATATTTTTCATTTATTTTTTAACTTTTTTATTTAAATTAAGTATTTTAATTTAATATTTTATAAATTAATTCTCTATCTGATATTTGAAATACTTACTTTTTAATTGTAAAAAAATTGATTTATCAAGCCAAAAAAATAAAAAATTTTGAATTAGAAATATTATATAATATCATAAAAAGAATATTGGAGATCAAATATAAAGTATTATGTAAAAACCAAGTATACACTGTCTAGAAATCTAGTATTTTTTTCTTGATTTTACCAGATTTAAAGTTTATTGAAGAAATTGGTAGAATTATCCAAACTGACATTTTAGAGAATTTAAATCAATGAAAATTAAAGTATCACCAAATCCAAAGAGTAAACCATATAGCAAAGTTAACCACTGATAATATGAACAATCAGCAATTAGAATCATTATAAAGTATTAAAACTAATCAAAAAATTAATCTACCAAATAACATTTCCTCATGATGATCATTGGGAACTACGATTATTAATAAATTAAATACCATCTTTTTTTTTTAATTAAAAAAAAAAAAAAAAAAATGGTTTTTTGTTTTAATTAAAGTATTTAAAACTAATTGGGTTATAAAAATATATTATTTTATTTTTCGTCACTATTTAATTTATTATTTGAGGATTTTTGTAATAATGGATATATTGATTCTTGAATAAATTTTAATAATTGATTATAACCTATCGATTTTTGATGAGAAAGCATTTTGCAATAGTTTTCATAAATATCTGGTATTTTCTTTAGGGTTTTGGAGATTAAAACTGGGTTTAATAATACAGTGGCAATAACTAATACCCATTCATAACAATTTGCATTTGTTAACTCTTGGAGCAAATAATAAAGATCCTCCATAGATGACTCTATAGACTCTTTTAAAAAGTATGGGTCGTTATATTCACTACCAGTGCTTGGTGCAACCATAAATTGATGCGATCTAAAAGAGTATTGAAGATTTGAACCGCCCGAAACGCCGCTAACAGTGCTACCATTACGATCACTACCCATTAAAACATCTTTAGAAGCTGAGCCATGCTGTTGAATTCTAGATTTAAGTGACTCGATCATTTCATCTTTTGTAACCATTGTTGGGGGTGATTGAGATAATGTTAAATGAGAATCATCATTTTGTTGTAGTTTTTGTATTGTATCATTATTTATTATAATACTCTCTGATTCGATTTTATTTGTTATATTACTATCTTCAATTTCATTATGATCTTCGTTATTTACTGATATTATTGAAGAATTTGATAATGAGTGTTTTAAATTATTATTTGATGATGATGTTGATGGCGTGATAGTTGAAAATACTTGTAATATACTTTGTGGAGAAAATGGTGGTAAAGATTCACTTGGTAAGTTTATATAAAATTGTACATGGATTGAATTTAAAGCCATATCTAAATCTTCAACAGTTCTAAGAACGGTAGCTCTTTTTTTTGCAATTAACCATGACGATATATCTTCACATAACGTTTTTCTAGAGAATAATAAAAAGTTTCTTAAAAGTTTACTCTTTAATAGTTTTGCTGAGTAGGTTGATAGAATCTGTTCTAAATTACGATAAAATTGTTTGGACTCCTTTGAAATATTTGATTTGTAAGTTGATGAATTATCAAACTGGGATTGCTGTTGATGATCTTCAGATGGAGTCGCATTATCCTCATCGGATGTATGTAAAAACCTAACTAAATCACCCGCTAAATCTATATTATCAAAGTCTAATGAAATTTCTAACAAATCTATTGCACACTTTCTACTTGTATCATCACCAGTAAGATGTTGTAAAATTTTTAAATAAGATGCGGCGATTTCAATTCTTCCATTTGATAAACATTTTTGGTAAAGTATGAATGGGTCACCAATAATTGAGAACAAACCCTTCCAAAAACTTGAATCAATCTTTCTAGTACATCTCATGGCTACCTCTGGAAATTGTGGGAACTTTTTTAAAAAGTTTATAACATATTCTAATTTACTACTTGGGTTATTTGGGTATGGTACGGGTAATTGTTGCAGTTGTTGGTGCTTTTGTTGTTTGAATTGCTTTTTTAAATCATCTGTATCTGAAATAAATTCGTGTAATAATAATTCCAATGAATGAGTGAAATGAGGAATTGTGTAAAATTTACTTGATAGGCTCCATGCTTTTTCAGCACCTCCTCTTTCTAATAAATGTTTTAAAATTGAGTGAAGGAAAGGATGGGTTTTGATATGAATTTCATAATTTGGATATGCTGAACATAATGAATAGGAAATACCTTGACTTAGACCTACAATAACACCCAATTCATTTAAAAAGCCAACTGGATAAACTTCATTATCAAAATTTAATGATCGATTGTGATTAAAATTTTTATTTGATAAAATTTCTTCGGAAGAGAATGGGAACCAGACTTGAATACCAGAATTACCATAAGCCCATAAAGTATTTCCAATTAATTCATTATCTCTATAGATGTTTGTAAACCAATATTGTTCAATGTTTGTTGCCAATTCACATTGAACAGCATTTTCAGCATTTGATAAACATAACCTACCATTTGAATATAATATTAAGCAATATGCTAATTGTCTTTGATTTTGCTGTATTATTGGTTGCTGTTGTCTTTCATATTGCAATAATAATGATGATTTATTTGGTGAAGTTATAAATTGACTTTGATTTGATGATAAATTTATTTGTATGGGTGGTAACAAAGAAATTGAAAGAGGTATTGAAGGTACAGCCATTGATAAAGTATGAACCAAATGTAACTCAATTTTTTGATTTCTTTCCAATACTCGGAATAAATAAAAGAATGACTCGCTAGTAAACAAAGCTAAATGAACATCGTTGCAATCAATAAGCTGTGGTTGATGGTTTTGAGGTATCTGGTGGGTATATAAAAGAGAACTATTATCTAAATGCTGCTTTGGAAAGAAAAGGAATTGGTGCTTCTTTAGAAAAACTGAATAATTTGCTACAATAATAACATTTTTATACCAAGCTAAACAAAGACTTTCAATATTTTGTTCTTGATTTCTATCGCCAAACATCTTCCAACGTTTGCTTAGGGAATTGTACAATATTATACCTCTTTTACCAGCAACTGCGAATTGGTTTCTATCTCTTGATAATGCTATATGTCGAATGGGCCAATTATCATTTAAATAAGCTGATGGAATCTGTAAGTGTTTCCAACGAATATCACCCAATTCTTTACCTTTATAATTTAAAAGCATTAATCTGTCTTCAGTTTGCAATATAATTCTCTCTGAATAATTTAAACTTGGATTTGAAGCTAAAGAGGCTTTTAAAAATGTAAATTGGAAGAATTCACCCAAATCATTGCCATTGGATAATAATACTAAATGATATGACTCTGGACCCCAACTAAAAGCCAAAACACCCTCTTTACATGGTTCTAGATATCTAGAATTAGATGTGACATCATTCATTTGTGGTATTGTACATGTTAATTTACACCCATAAACTGACCATAGGCAAAAGCCACGATTTTTCCAACCAACAGCCAGGCAATTATCATCATGAGTCCAACTCATTCTTGATATTGGTCCAATTGCATCCGGAGTTATCTCTCTAAACTGTAATAATGAAAATGTTCTTACATACTGACATGAATTCATTGATTTTTCTAATTCCTGTGAATCAAATTGTTGATTAACTTTTGACTTTATAACTGGTCCTGGTAATTTATAAATTAAAACCTCACCACTAAAAAAATATAAAATTAATTAATATAAGAATTCAAATGTATATGCTGCTAAAAGAGAATGTAATATATTTACTTTTTCATGCCAACAGCAGCAAGTCTATGCTTTAAATTTAAAGAAATAGAAACTGAATTCTCCTTTGCTAACCAATACCCTCTTAACTTGTCTTTCGACTTCTTTTTTAAAATTGCACTTGAACCATTTTCAAACACCAAACCAAATATTGAAAATACTGGATTATAAAATACACTTGCAACAATTAATGGGGAGCTGCTTGGTACATTTGAATATGAATCATTGAGTCCATCAAAAGGAACAATATCCAATGAAAATTGACTTATTAGTTCACCTGTCCATGATGACTTGACTAAGTATCCCTCTTTTGTAAAAATAAATATATATTCGCTGTTTGATGTTATACTAAATGTGAAATAATAAAGCAACTATTAATTATCTGTTAGATTATTGAAAAATTGGTATAATAAATATGTACCATAATGCGCCTAAAGTTGACGGTCTAAATGATGATGAGAATTTTATTGAATATTTCTTTTTATCATTTTGTAGAGTTGGTGAATGATGATCCTTATAGTATTTAAAATTTAAAATGTCGATACCCTCTTGTTCGATTCTATAAACAATAATAAAACCTATTGATGTCTAAAGATTATGATTAATTAAAACATGTCCAAATACTCTATAATTGTAATTTTAAAAACAATACATACGACTATAGCTATTGAAGTTGAATCTGGAGACCAAATTAACTTTTGATTTTTACCAAATTTATTTAATGAATCGTCGGATCTTGATATATAACCTAATTGAACCCTATGCTGATCGCCTGACCATAATGATAATGTTGATATTCCAATAAACCCAATCAATGAGCAATCAAAACTATGTTGTACATCTATAAACTGTTCTTGAACTTCGCTAAAATATGTTTTGGGCCATCCGAATGTAAAATACATTTCTTTTTATTTACTATATATGATTATATTTGTGTATAATAAATACATGAAAAAGAAAAAAAAAAAAACAAAAACAAAAACAAATTAATTAAGGTTACACATTTAGTTTATATATTATTACTTTTCATAATAATATAAAACGAATAAGAATTATATTTATATATTTAAAAAATAGAAAATAAAAAAAGAAAAAAATATTTTTTTATTTTAAAAAAAATAAAAAAATGAAAATAATTTTTAAAAAAAAATAAAAAATTAAAAAAAAAAAATTGTAATTTATATTTTTTTTAATTATCTTACTAATACACCTTTATTTTATCTATATATAACCTTTTTTGTTCTATTCTGTAATTATTTTATTTAAAAAAAATATATTTTAATTTTAAAACCACACCAATATAGAATAAAAAATATTTGAAAATTGAACAAAACTTTTTAACCATGTATTATTTTATTAATAGAATAACATTTTTATAGAGGTTAACTCCTTTTTTTTTGGTCAAATATAGAAAATAAATAAAAATAAAAAAACATGATGTGTTTTTTTTTAATTTTATTTTTTTTTTTTTTTTTTAATTTAAATTTTTTTTTTTTTAAAAAATTTTTAATTAATTTATTTATTTATACACAAATTATTTTATATTTTTTTCATCATATTAAATATTCAATATTAAAATGGTATTATTTTATATGTATAATTATTACTATTACTATTATTTATATAGCTAACTTGTTTATTTTAAAACAAATATAGTCAAGTAGTTTATTAAAAGAACCTAGAGAAATCGATGAAATAGTTTATAGATTTCTAGAAATATCAGATTTTGAAAAAGGATTCTCGGAATGTCTGCAACAACTAACAGAAGCTAAATTTACAAAATCACAATTTATAGATAGATATTCTGAATTAAAGAAACAACCTGATACCTATTTCATTGTTGTAGCTGAAGATTTAAAAAAGAAAAAAATTATCGCATGTGGAACTTTATTTGTCGAAAAGAAATTCATTAGAAACTGTGGAACCTGTGGACACATTGAAGACATTGTAGTTGATAAAACCTATAGAGGAAAAAATTTAGGATTAAGGTAGTATACTTTTTTTTATATTTTTTCGATGATTTAATCTCTTTGTATTAACCCACAATTAATTTGTATAGAATAATCGAACAATTAACCCACATAGGCAAAAAACTTGGTTGCTATAAACTTATTTTAGATTGTTCTGATAGTAATGTTAAGTTTTATGAAAAATGTTTATTTGAAAAGAAAGGTGTTCAAATGTCACTTTATTTACCAATGTCCAAACTATAATATTTAAACAAACCAATAATAAACAGCTACCACCATATTAAATAAAATATTAAATAAGTATATTATTTTGTATTACTAAATCAAAATATTGGTTATTGTTAAATTTATTTATAAATAAAAAAAAATAAAAAAAAATAAAAAAAAAATAAAAAAAAAATAAAAAGTAAAAATAGTTTTAAAACATTGATTGTTATTTTATTTATCTTGTTAGAGGTTTATTATTTATTATTCTCAACTAAAGATACATTTGTATTTGCGTTTGGTTACAATCTTTGGTCAATTATGAGATTCGAATCATTGGGAAATATCTCGTTCCTCTTTCATTAGAACCATTTGAAAAACTTTTATTAATAACTCTTGAACCCTAAACCCATTTTTTTAATTCTATTGACTGATATTTATTTAATCTAAAAATAAAATTTTAAAATTAGTAAACCACCACCAACCAAAAAAAAAAAAAAAAAAAAAAAAATCTTACCGCCAAATATATTTCATATTAACCCACAATCTTTATTTATTATAATTTTTAATGATTTATCTTCATAAAAATAAAAATGTAAATTGGATTAATTTTTTTTTTTCAACCCATTAACTTTTTTATTTAATTTTAACTTTTGGAACAAACAAATCTTTAATTTTAAAAATAATAGTAGTATTTTTTCGCCATTTGTTCTCCTAATTTTATTTAATTTATTAATAAAAATAAATAAAAAAAATTATTTTGGTTATAACGGCGCTACCGACATTTTTATTTAGGTAATAACGGCATTACGGCGTTTTATTTTTTTTTTTTTTCTTCAAATTTTTATAAAAAAAAAAAAATAAAAAACGAAAAAGTTTTTTTTTATCTTTATATATTTTAATTAATATTATATTTGTTATATAATATTTTAATTATATTATAATTACATATTTGTAATACTCTTTTAATGTAAGAAATTTAAACATCATCTCTCTATAATTTTTTATTTGAATTTATTTTTATTTTTAAAAAATTTCACACAAGTCAATTTTTATTTCACAAAAAAAAATTTTTTTGTATTTTTTTAAATTAATTATAAATTATTATAATTTTTTTTTTAAAAAATAAATATAAATAGTAAAATTAGATAAATGGCACTTCATTACATTAATTATCTATATTGTAATTTCAATCATTGAAAAAAAAAAAATTAAATAAAATTAATTGTGTTTGTGGGTGTGTGTGAAGAAAAAACAAAAAAAATATTCAAGCTAAATTAAAAAAAAGCTATTTTTGTGTTATTATATATATATCATTTTTTTAATACACAATAACAGGGGTATTTTTATTATTTTTAATTTATTTTATTTTTTTTATTTATTTTTTATTTTTTTTTTAATTCTATACTTTTTTATTTTTTATTTTTTTACCATTTTTTTATTAACATTAATAAATTTCTATTACAGATAAAATTAAAATATAAGACCAAAATATTAAATTATTATATTTAACAAACATACACACACATATATATATTATAAAAGATGTCAAATAGAAGAAGAGAAATTATTGAATATATCGATAAAAGAGAACCAGTTGAAGCAGGTGGCGAGGTTAGCGATCAAGCAGATAGATTAACAAGTATTTATGATAGTGATACTTATGGTTTAAATGCCATGAGAGAAACATTACCATCACATTGTTATAAAAAGATCCGTGAAGTTATGGCCACTGGTAGTACATTAGATCCACAAATTGCCGATATGGTTGCCAACGGTATGAAAGAATGGGCCATTAAACAAGGAGCTACTCACTATTGCCATTGGTTTTTACCATTAAATGGTTTAGCTGCTGAAAAGCATGATGCTTTTGTTAGTATTTTCCCAGGTGAAGAAAAATTATTATTAGAGTTCTCTGGTATGCAATTAATTAAAGGTGAACCAGATGCATCATCATTCCCATCCGGTGGTATTAGATCAACTTGGGAAGCTCGTGGTTATACTGTATGGGATGCCACATCACCAGCATTCATCCGTAGAGAAAAGAATGGTGCCGTACTTTGTATTCCAACTGCTTTCTGTTCATGGACCGGTGAAGCTTTAGATCAAAAAACCCCACTTTTACGTTCAATGGAATATGTTTCAAATGAATCACTCATCACCCTCAACTTACTCTTTAATGAAACACACAAAAGAGTTTTCCCAACTTTAGGTATCGAACAAGAATTCTTTTTAATTGATAGAAAGTTTTATTTAGCTCGTCCAGATCTTGTTAATTGCGGTCGTACTTTAATTGGTGCCAGACCACCAAAGGGTCAAGAAATGGAAGATCATTACTTTGGTACCATGAACAGTCGTATTATTTCTTGTATTCAAGAGGTAGAATGGAAAATGTGGAGATTAGGTATGCCATTAAAAACCAGACACAATGAAGTTGCTCCAGGTCAATATGAAGTTGCTCCAATTTTTGAACGTGCTAATGTTGCTGCTGATCACAATATGATGCTTATGGATATCTTAAAATCAGTTGCTACCAAACACGGTTTAGTTTGTCTCTTCCACGAAAAACCATTCGCTGGTGTCAATGGTTCTGGTAAACATAACAATTGGTCATTAAGTACCGACGGTGGTTCAAATCTTTTAGACCCAGGTCACACTCCATCACAAAATGCTCGTTTCATTCTTTTCCTTACTGCTATTATTAGAGCCGTCGATATTCACGCCGATCTCTTAAGAGCATCTGTTGCAGTACCAGGTAATGAACACCGTTTAGGTGCCAATGAGGCCCCACCAGCCATTATTTCAATTTATCTTGGTAAAGAACTCGATACCGTTGTTAACAATATTATCAACTCTACAGATATTCAAGCTCCAACCTCAGACGATATGAATTTGGGTGTTAGTGGTTTCCCACCACTTCCAAAAGATAGTACTGATCGTAATCGTACTTCACCATTTGCTTTCACTGGTAACAAATTCGAATTCCGTGCTGTTGGTTCAAGTCAAGTTGTTAATTTCCCATGTATTGTTTTAAATACTATTGTTGCCGAATCACTTAAATACATTCGTGACTCTATCCTCTCTGAAATGAAAAATACAAACAGACAAACAGCCTTCAATAAAGTTATCAAAGAAACTCTTTCAGCTCATAACCGTGTTATTTTCAACGGTGATGGTTATAGTGATGAATGGAAAGATATTGCCAAATCAAGAGGTCTTCAAAACCTTCCAACTACTCCAGAAGCTTTAGTCAACATCAACTCTGAAAAGAATATCAAACTTTTCAAAGAAAGTAGCATTTTATCCCCAGTCGAATTAGAATCACGTCAAGAAATTCTCTTTGAAATTTATAACAAATCCATCAAGATTGAAGCAAACTCACTCTATGATATCATTTCAACATTGGTTCTTCCATCATGCTTCCAATATCAAAAGAGTGTTGCTGACTCTCTCAACTCCATCATGCCATTCCTCCAAAGCCAAAAATCATTCTGCCAACCAAATGCTCAATTCTCTCTTTTATCAGAATTAGTTGAAGCTATCAATAACCTCACCGAATCAAATCAAAAACTTTTAAATCTTATTAAACAATCAAAAGAAACAAAATCAGAACATGAACTTTCTTTCTTCCTTAACCAAACCATTATACCAGCAATGAATGATGTACGTAAATATTCTGATCATCTCGAAACAATCATTGATGATTCAATCTGGCCAATTCCAAAATACAGTGAAATGTTATTCTTACGTTAAATTAATTAGTGTTATTTAAAGATATAAAAAAAAAAAAGGAAAAAAAAAAAAGTTAATAATAATAATTAAAAAAAAAAATAATCAAATATTGGTGAATTTCTTCACTATTTAACAACACTCCCAAATAAAAAAGATACAAATTGTAGTTTTTTTAATTATCAAAAAATAGATAGTATGATAATTTATCATTTTATTTTACATTTTTTTAAATATTTGATTATTAATTTATTTTTGCCCTAAAAAAAATCTTTTTAAAAAGACTTTTTTTTTTAATTTATTTAGATATTTTTTTTTTTATTTTTTTATTTTTTTTTTTTTCTTAATTTGTGATTGATTTTTTTTTTTTTTTGAATAGTTTTTTTATTTTTATAAAATAAAAAGTATGAAAATAGTTATTTTATTTTTTTTATATATATTATTTGTAATAGCAAAATGTGGTATATATGATTACACCACAGTAATGAATATTAAGGATGATGAAGGAATTCCATTGAACCAGAGATATGCCTTACCATCAGAAACATCATGCACATTTACTTATTGGGTTTTAATTAATGATACAAATGGTCAAAGGCCCGTGACATTTGGAGTAGATTTATTTCCATCCTTAATTTATAATTCAGCCGATCAGTTTCTCTATGTTGTAAATAGTAACAGGTTAAAAGGCCAAAATGGGTCCATTAGTATTAAACCTCAATTTTTTAATTTAGATATAAGTTTAGAGCTATTAATACCTTTTTCTTGTTTAGGTAATAATTATTATAATAGTTTTATTATTTTTTTTTATTTAATGCATTTTTTTAATTTAAATTTAAATTTTTATTTTTTTTATTTCCCACTTTTCATTTTCTATTTTTTTTTTTTTTATAAAAAATATAGAAACCCCAATACAAAGTTTTGTTCAAAATGTATCAACTTATCCATATGTATCATACCAAGCAACATTCCTGATTGGTATTAAGTTTAATGCTTTTTCAAAATATACCAGCACTGCGAATATTGTTTCAGGAAACAGTGGAATGCCAGGTCTCAAACCAGTAACACCAACAAGAACATTTTTTAATATATTTATATTTCAAATAATACCAAATGTTCCTCAGGCCCAAAATTCAAATTTACCATCAAGTTCTATTTCAGTTTTTGATGGTTTATTTACAGTCCCATTCTCACATATTTATAAATCATGTAGGTAAACTTTAGGATAATAATAGTATTGGCTTTTGTTAAATAAATTTATTAATTTATTAATTTTTTTATAAAGTTTCACCTTTGGGTAGTTTTTCTTCTTTGAGTAATCAGGTTTATCCAAACAATTGTGCAAACTCACCAACAACATATTGGCATTGTTATTTATTTATGACATTTAATACTAATTATCAAAGTTATTTTTTTAATACTTTTGATGCTAGTGCTTCCGCATCAAAATATTTATTTAAAGTAAAGGGTAATTCTTCGTTGGATACAATTACATATTTAAATATTTTACCAACCGTTGATGGGGCTAGATCATACAGCATCCAGTATTTTGATGGAAATAAGCTATCATCCAGCGGTACTCCGCCATTATCAGTAAGCTATAGTAAGTCTAAAAAAGGATTTATATCATTATCTGTATACATTTTTATTAATCTTTTTTTTTAAAAAAAAATATAAAGCTTTTCCAAATAATTATATTGCAAAAAGTGGCTCATTAAATGATTATCCAGATGGTGTTAGGGTAGTTAGGATTAATGTTAGTCTTGAGTATTTAGGCCCATTGGTTTTTACAGGTGATTTAATGGGAGGTATTCAAAGATACTATCCATATCCATTCGGTGTTATAAGTACATCACAAAATGTAGTGGACTACTCAGTTGCCTTCATTACACCCCCAAGCTCTTACAACTCATGGTGGATAGTAAACCTTCAATATTCAGCAGATACCACAAAAACACTTTATAATATTTCTTCTTCAGATGTTCCACCTATTTCAATTGTTTTGCCAAAGCTTACACTACTGGACTATAAAGATAATGGAGATACATTCTCACTTTTAATTGGAGCTCAACATTCTAGTGGTATATCAAGCATCTCTGTAAATCTATGTACAAGATCATGTATTAATATTATTAATCCATCTCATTTGGTCCAAGGAACTATTTTTAATGGAGTTTATCGATATACACTTTTAAAAAATAGGGTTGGCTTGCAATATACCAAGGCTGATATCTTTGTTAAATCAAGAGATGGCAATTCAAAATCTTATAAGCTTTATGATGTATATAATGATAGCTTTGACTATGTCAAACCATTACCATTCTTTGAAGGTGCCCTAACTCCAGAAACAATAAAGAGAATTTATTTTGAAAAAAATAATGTTGATGTTACTAATAATCAAGTCGACAATACAATGTATATCGAGACCACAAAACGTTTTGATAACTTTGTATTCGGTTTCCATCCAAACTATATGCTCGCTGTTAAACCCGTAGGGACTGCTGGCGCCTATTTCTTCCGTGATGAAAGTGACCCACAATATACAAGTATTTGGAATGGAAATTTAAACCGTTACGAAATAAGATTTAAGATACCAAAAAGCATTTTTGGGCCAGTGCCATATATTATTACACCACTACAGTTGGATAATACCTTCTTTTATAACTATTTACAAAATGGTATAGAAAGTGAACTTAGAATTATATCAAAAGACCCAAATATTCTACCTCCAATTATCGAGACTATAGATGTTTCACCAGCAATACTCTCTCCTCCAGTAGCTCAAGAAACCACAACTCTTTACTTTTTATTAACTCTTTCAGAGTCATCAAATGGTTTTTCATATGGTATAGTGAATATCAATAGTGACTATGACCCAATGGGTAGAAATATTACATTCACTGGTCCAGGTGATATCTTAAATTGTAGTTTTCAAATATCCTATTATGATAGACCCCAAACTTATAAAATTGGTTATATTTGGTTAAATGATACCCAAGGCCACATCAGTGAATATCCTTCAAAGACAAAAGTAAATCCTCTAATGAAACACATGGACACCCTCAATACAAAAACAATCAAGGTCGGTGATGTTGGTTATAGCTATGATACAACTCCACCAAAAATAGAGTCTTTTAAAGTTGATACTTTAAATCTCAATGATAGTAATAGAACCGTTTCTTTTACAATTATGGCAATAGATCCACAATCAGGAATTTATACATCAGGCCTCTCTTCAAGACTTTTGCCAGTTGTATACCTTTCATCTTCTAATTTTACTGTTATATCATCAGTTGCGCAAGTCGAGCATGTATTTCCAAACGGATCTACAATTTATAAAACCTCAATTACAATTTCCTATGGATTTGGTTATCCCGAAGGTATATTAATTAGTATTTTTGGTTTAACCGATAATAATCTCAATACAAAAGGATATCAGTTTGATGATTTAGCAAAATTGGAGGCACCTTACCGTTTGAATAGCTCCATTTATGAAGGTCCATTCATATCAAATTCTCAATATTCAAATGGTCTTTTAACACTCAACGGTTTTAGATTTGGTTTATCAAAAACAAAACTAATAGTTTATTATCAATACGACAATTTGGTTGACACCATCGTAGATTATGTATCAAGTGATGATAGGAAAATTGTAACCGATAAAATCAAAGATTCAGTTTATGAAAATTATATTACTATAAAAATTATAACCAATGATGGCTTGGAATCAAACAGTCTTACTGTTAAAATAGGAAATCCACAATCAACCACCCCACCAGTAAACCAAACATGTCCAGGAAACCCAGTATGTGGAGGCCCTGAAAAAGGTGTATGCCAAAACAATTTCGTTTGCAATTGTATTGAGCCATATAATGGTATTGATTGCACAAGTATGAACACTGGCTCGGTAGGTGAGGTTAATCCAACAAATCCTAATGTAAACTTTACATATGTCGACGATAATAATAAATTCAAAAGTTTAATTATTATTTATTCATTGACCGAAATTGATATATACGGTACTCCAGTCGAAACCTATATATTTAGTAATTGGTCCTATCTAGAATTAGATTCAAATAATTATCAATTTAATACAACATTCAAGAGTATGGATAATGCTGGTGAAGCGATTGATACCCATCTTCTAGTTACAATTACCAAATTTGATAAAAGAACTACAGTTTTATTTGCCAACCAAACTCTAACAATGGAGCCATCAACAATTAAATATAGCATGGCTTTGGACCAATATAATTTCAAGAATCAATTAAATACATTAAAGCTTTTAATTTATACATCACTCGAGGCATCAAAAACCGATGATATTTGCTCATCTATTCAATTTGGTGATAACTCCATTGACTCAAACTATGCTAAAGTAAAAGTAGGTAATCTTTACCTATATGGAAGATTCATTAAAAGAGGAATTATCGATGGTATAGTCCAACAAATATCCCATGGAATTGATATTCAAAATAGTACAAGTAGCAAATCTCAAACATTTATCTCAATCAATTTACCAAACTATCGTAGATATATTTCAATTGATCCAGGTAATTACTTATATTTTATATTGTTATAATATAACAATCTGAAGTTATTATTGTTAATATTAATACTAATACTTTTTCTATAATATAGATTTTTCAGTTTTAATTGATAATACAAATTCAAATGATCCAAATTCTATATGTGCATCAAAATCATTAACTAAAGCCCAATTAGTGGGTATAATTGTTGGTGGCGCAATGTTTATAGTAGCTATTTTAATTATAGGTTCAATAGTGTTGTTTAGAAGATCCACAACTTTTAGACTTTTCTATTACAGATTAGCCAAAAAACACAAGGCAAAAAAAATAGAAATGAAATAAAGAATATTTTTAAACTTAATAAAAAGAAAAAAAAGTGTAATTTTATTTATTTAAATTCTACTTGAATTTCGTCATCATCTTTTATAAATTCAATATCTTTATCATCTGAAATTAAAACATTTGGTAATAATATTATTGATTTAATATGGTTCTTTTCAAACTGTTCAACTGATTCGATTGAAGTAGCAATTATATTATTATTTATTGGTTTAAATCTATTTCTTATAACATTTAAAAGGTGGTGATAGGTTTGGTTGTATAAATTGACATATTTAAATAATGAGTCTTGATTGGTTTTGATTTTAATTCTTTTTGTCATTGTTTTAACTTCTTTTAATGGAATTTGAACAATATTTGAGCTATCTATTAAAGCATCTAATTTATCAGATTCTTTAAAAACTTCATTCATATATTTATCTACAATATTTGGGTTACGTTCTTTTGATTTTAAAAATTGATGAATCTTTTGTTTATAATCGCCTTTGAAAACTACAAAGCTTGAAATCTGAACTAAGTTTATTTGAACATGGTATTGGAAGAAATCTATTAAATCCTGAATTTGCTCTTTAAACTCTTGCTCGCTTAAATCGTTTGTTGAATTTGATGTAAAAAAGCCATCAAGATCTTGGCTAATCTTTTCTATAATATCTTTTGGGGTTTGTTTTTCTGAGTCATAAACATTCAATAGTGAACCATGATCAACTAAGAAATGGCACATATCAAAGCAGGCTTGACTGGCAGCAATATGAAGAGGTGTCGATTGAGGATATACAGACATTGGTAGATTTACATCAGATCCACACAGTATCAATTTCTTTGCAATGTCATAGTGTTTAAAGTTTAATGATTCGTGGAGCATTGAGCAACCAAACTTATCAAGCATATTTGGACTAGAACCTGCTTCTAATAATAAATCTACTGCTTTGGTATTACCATAAGAGCATGCAATAAAAAGAGCTGGTTGGTTACGATTATTTAATGAATCTATAACCCTTTGGTAGTTTTCTTCACTTGATTCGTTACCCTGGATTTTGGTTTGATTAAAGAAATTTAATAGTTGCTCTAAAACCATCAATTTACTTGTATACATTGAACATTGACCTAATGGAGTTTCTTCAATATCTTTATCGCTTTCCATAATTGACTTTTCACTTGGTAAACTGAAATCATATTTGTATTGATGGAATAGTCTTGTAACAGAAAATATTAAAACTTTGATCATTTCTTTAAATATTTCATTAAAATTGTTTTCACTATCGGCATTTGGTACATTTAAAAATTCATTTAATTCATTTTCATCTGAAGGGAAAATATGAATAAATTGTTGAAAAGCTGTTTTACCTGTTGTTTCATCAATGTGGTTTGGTTTGCATGATTTTTGTAACAATAGTTTAATTAATTTAATAAGAGGGTGATTTCTTTCAACAATATTAATATCTTTGCTTTGTTGTTGATGTAATTTGGATGTATTTGGTGAGGAGGTTGATGAGTGGGAAGAGGATGATGAGGAAGAAGATAAAGATGATGTTGAGGATGCTAAGCTGTCATTGTTATTTATAAATAGTGAGATTGTTAAATCTTTAATTTTTTTTAAACTTGATAATGAATAATGTAAACATGTGGGACCTTGTTTGACACATTTTAGACTTGGATCAATTTTAGATAAAATAATGTCTTTTTTCTTTTCGTTCCTTTCTTTTTCATGCTTGGTTAAATAGATGCTTGGCTGTAAAGATTGAAACAGTAAAGAGAAATTGAAAGCATCTAATACCTTTGCATGTGGTTCCGAAATTTTAATATCTTGATCATCATTATTTTCGATTAATAACTCTACAGTTTTATAATCAATTTCTTTACATGCTAGATGAATTGGTAACATATTGGTCTTGTTGGCTAAAGTTGGTGAGGCTCCTCTTTCTAAAAGCAGTTCTACCACTGAGTATCTATTTGATTTCTTTTCCTTTAAATACATAAAACTATTTATATCTGATGGCTCTGGAACTATTGGTGTTGGTGAAATTTGTTGCTGCTGTGATGGGTTTGGGGATGTGATTTCGCTAATTGATGAAGCACATGCATAATGTAAAGAGGTATTGCCATTATTATCTTGTTTGTTGATATCGAAATTTCTTGATAGCAAATCGTCATCTGAAACTATATCTAAAATTACTTTAACTAGTCTCCTCATTTTTAAAGATGATGCCAAATGTAAAACTGTCATGCCATAGTGATCTTCAGTTGAATAAACCAATGAGTGATCTCTTTCAATTAATTCAATACATTGATCCATTTCACCTCTATTTAAATGTTTGAAAATACTTGAATAAACCAATTGATTTTCATCACTGATACTATTTATGCCTTTTACTTCTTTTACATCTTCATTGATTTCCTTTATTTTCATTTTAAAATGATAACCTCTGAAAAAAAAGGTATTTGAACAATGAACAATGAAAAAAAAAAAAAAAATTAAAAATAAAAAAAAATTAAAAAAAAAAATAAAAAAAAAAAAAAATAATTTAAAATTATATAAATGATAATTAAACTAAAATAAATAAACACTCATAAAACCAATTGAAATAAAAAGATTTTAAAAATAATATTATTTATTATAATTTGTTTTAAAAATGATAATAAAACTTTACCAATTATATTTTTGTTCGATAATATCCATTTGTGTAAATAAATTTTATTTTTTGTTTATTGTGTTAAAAAATGTAAACTAAAACCTTCGACAAATCTTTTTTTAACCTTTAAAGTATCTATATATGTTCTTGGATTTTTTTTAAATATCTCGATCGTTATAAATGGTCCAAAGTCATCCACACTATAAATCTTCGATAAACCAATAGGTATTCTTGCACCTGGACCTGCTTCTACACTTTCTAAAGGGCCATCTATAAAAAGAAATTAGGAGTATTAATATCATCTATTAATAGTTACAATAGTGGTATTTATAATATTTTAATATTTACTTAAACCTATTATTTTAAATCTTGTCCAATATTTTGTTTGAAATGGAAACACTAATTGTATCTGCTTGGGTCCATTTAATGGTGACAATACAGTTTCGTATGTTTCTCCATCCATCGTAAATGCTTCATAAATAGGTATTTCTCTTACCATTTCTTTTATATTGTTTTTTATATATTTATAGAATAATAATAAAAAAAAAAAAACAAACAAACAAAACAAAACAATAAAATTAGTTTAAAAATGAATATAATTTGAACATACACAGCTCTTTAATCACAACATTAAAAAATAAATAAAATTTAAAAAAATATAGATAGAATTTGATAATTAAAAATTAATAAATAAATAAAAAAAAAAATTAAAAAAAAATTAAAAAGATAAATAAAGAAGTATTTAACTTTGATTAATACTTTTTTATTATTTTAATATTATGGTTATAATGATTATTATGATTATTATGGTTATTATGGTTTTATGGTTATTATGATTATTAAGGTTATTAAGGTACTAAAAATTATTTTATTTAATATTTATATAATATTTATTAATTATTTATATATGTATGTATTAATATTGTTTTATCGTTAATTATTGTTATTTTAATTAGTCATATTCACTTTATAAATTATATATATTAAATAAATATTTCTATTTTTGTTAATTTTTAATTATTTAAAGAAAATAGAAATAATAAATAAAAAAAAAATAAAAAAAAAACAAATTTTATTTAATATATTTATTAGTTAAAAAAAAAAAATTTATTATTTTTTTTTGTTGGTCAATCTTTATAATATTTTTCTTTTTTATTTTGTTATTCAGCAGTAAAATCTTTATAGTGTGTGAAATAAAAAATCAATATAAAATGTTATCCCACTCCCCCACCAACACACAGATACACACACAAATATTTTTTCTCTTTCCTCTATAAATAAACATCATATCTTTATTTTTTTTAAATAATTTTTACACCCAAACAAATTTTTTTTTTTTTCATTTTTTTTTTTTTTTTTTAAATAATTTTTTTTTATTTTTTTTATTTTTTATTTTTTTTAAAATTTTTAAATTTTTGTGTGTTTTCTCTCTTTTTTTTTATTTGTTTATTTATATCATATACTAACTGGTATATCATATAAGTAAATATAGTGGAAAAAAGGACACTAAAACAACACAAATTTAATAGTGAAAAGTAAAGTGAAACCAGAAAAAAGCGAAAAGAAAGAGAAAAAGTCAAAGATGGGTTCTTCATCATCAAAGAGTTCATCAGTGACTGTCGCTTCATCAATTGATTACAGAGCAAAGCCAACTATGGATGAGCTTGGCTCTGCTAATAATGGTGGTGTCGAAGTAAGTTTATTAAAATAAAAATTAAACAATCATAAAAATCAAAAAAATTAAAATAATTCAAATAATCAAAATAATCCAATAGAAATAAATAAAAAAAACTAGAAATGCGCTTGCATATAAAATGATCAAACGATATTAACCTACCATTTTTTTATAAATAGATATCAAAAAATATGTTGGATTTTAATTTAGGCGAAAAACCATGTCCATTAAAATCATCAGTCCAAGACCAATTTACAATTGTGAATAACAACAAATCGAAATTAAAATTCCAACTTGAACCATTACAACCAAAAGAATTTCAATTAAGTTTTAGCCCAACCTCTGGTTCAATTGACAAGGTAAGATTACAATTATCATTTTGAAAAAATATCTTTTTTTTTGTGTGTGTGTGTTTTTTTTTTTTTTTTTTTTTTTTTTTTTTTTTTTAAAAACTTTTTTCCCGTCTAACATTAATATTTATATTATTTAGGGAAAATCAAAAACAGTTAAAGTAAAATTAGTTGTTAATACAAAGATCAATACAAATCACAAAGTAGTGTTAAGAATTGAAGGAGGTGCTAGCCACTTTTTAACTGTAAAAATAAGATGCGAAACAGGTGTTTTTGGTGTTGACCCACTTTCACTCGAATCAGTAGATGATGAAGGCTATAGAGTACCAGCTATTCTCTCTTTAATGAAGAAATCTTTAATTGAAAATGGTGGTTTACAACAAGAAGGTATTTTCCGTTTAGCAGGTGAACAAACTGAAATTAAACGTTTAAAGGAACAAATGAACAAAAATGATTTCACATCAAGTAATGATATTAATACTATAGCATCCCTAATTAAAGTAAGTAGCACCCAAACACAAATAAATACAGATTCATCCCAATTAATATTAATAATAATTATTTATAATTAAATAGATTTGGTTTAGAGAATTACCAACACCAATTTTAAATTCAATTCCAACTGAAAAAATTTTTTATAGTACAGATGTTGACGAATGTGTTCAATCTGCTGCACAACTCCCAGAACCACAAAAAAGTTTACTCGATTGGTTAATGAACCTTTTATTACAAGTTTCCAGTTTTTCTGATGTAAACAAAATGACAGCCCAAAATCTTGCAATTGTTGTAGCACCAAATCTTTATGACGTTAGTAGTTCTAATCCAATGGAAGGTTTAGTATTATCTCAAAAGTGTGTACAATTTTTACACAACGTCCTCAATCATAAAGTATCTGTTCACAAAAGAGAATCAAGATCGATTGCATTTGAAGTGTAATATTAATATTCAAATAACAAATAACATCACCAATTCAAATATTTATTATTGTTATAGCAACCATAATATAATTTGATAAATATATAGTTTTTTAATCCATTATTTAAATATATAAAGTCGAAAAAAAAAAAAAAACATAAAAAAAAAAATCAATAATCACAAACCAAACTTGTAAATTAGAATTTAACTTTAATTAAAACAATAAATATAATATAATATTAAAAAAAAAATAAAAAAAATAAAGTAAAAAAAAAAATTTATTTATGCACAAATCAGATATTTTTGTTTTTTTTTTTTTTTTTTGGATTTTTTAAAAAAAGGTATGAAAGTTTGAAAAAATGGGTAAATAAAACACGCAGTAATAATAACAAAACATTATTTTTTAAAAAGTATTATAAAAAAATAAAAAGCTAAATATAAACTTTATTATAAATAATACAACAAGTTAATAGTTGTTGAATTTTTTTTTTTTTTTCTTTTTTTTTTCTTTTTTTTATATAAAATTAAAAAAAAATAAATATAAATTATATTAATATTTTAGATAAAATTTGTATTGGTAATATATTGTTGTTGTGAATTTGATGAGGATGGTGAGTCAACGGAAAGAGGGTTCCAAACACGAATATTCGAGACCAAACAACTGATTTCTAATATTGATCTTTCTCCACCAATATTTAAATTGAGTGATTCGGCTGGTAACAATAATCCAATTGTAAGTGGATTGTTTGCTGTTGAATTTAATAAATTTTCGGTTGTTTGGGTAATATTATGTGAAACGATTCTTGGTGAATCTGAACAAACAATAAATTGTGAGTTTGGTTCTTGATTTGGTTCATCATCTTCTTCAACTAAATGGAAATCATCTAAATCTTGGGGTATTGAAAGTGAAGTAGTTGTGGAAACCGGTATAACTGGAGAATCTTCAATTTCTTCAAATCTAGAACCAACATTGATTTTAATTTTCTTCCTATTTTGCTGTTGTTGTTGTTGATAACTATCATCTGTAACCATTCTCTTATTATTTTCATTTTTAATATTGTTATTGTTATTGTTAATGTTAATGTTATTGCTCTTGATACTTTTAATGTTGTTGACGCTATCCGATCCAATATTATTGTTGTTATTGTTACTTAATAGTATTGAAGGTGTTTTCATTTGAATATCATAATTAGAAGGACTTGAATCTGAAATTGAGATTGTTTTAGGGTTTGAGGAACCATTTTCAATTGAAAGAATATTGTGAGAAGATTTGGCAGTGGTTGGTGATACATCAAATGGAGTGATTGCACCAAATTGTGGTTGTGATTGTGGAGTTTGGAAAAATACACCTAATGAAAAGAAAATAAGTAAAAGGCAAACTCCAGCAGCTTTTACATTCTTGGTTTGTTGTTGTTTATGATTATTGTTATTATTTACAGAGTTGGTATTTATTTCGATGATACTACTATTATTGCTATTGTTACTATTGTTATTATTTAAATTGCTGTTATAATTAATATTAACATCTGGATTATTATTTGCTAATTGTTTTACAAGACCTTGGAGATATAAAACCTCCTCTTTTAGGGAGTTGTTATCTTGAGTAAGGTCACTAATTTTCTTTTCGAGATCTTCAATATAAATCTTCTTTCTCATTCTTGAAAGTTGAGCAGATTCACGATTCTTTATTAATCTTCTTTGTTTTTTTACAACTTTTTCATCATGTTCATTGTGAATTGGGGTATCTTCAATTTGAACTGGTTCTTTACCTGAAATTTTTAACAATTCTTCTCTAGTTAATGGATGAACAACTAAAAAAAAATAAAAATAATATTAGTATTATAGTAAAAACATATAAAAAAAAAAAAAGTCATATATTTACTATTTTGAACCCTTGATTCGATTGTTCTCTTTTTGGAATTTGATTTTTTATCATCTTTAACCTTTGATTTTGAAGCTTTACTTGTATTGGTTGTGGTTAAAGTGGTTGAATTATTTGAATATGGTGAACCTGGTGAGGATGGTGTAGTTAATGGTGATGCCGATGACGATGATGGTGATTCACTTAATAAAACCGAATATCCATCAACCATTGGTAATTCAATATTTTGTTCAAGTAAACTATTTAAATAAAAAATGAAAAGGTTAGTAAAAATATAGATACAGAGAGATTTAAATAAATTTTTTATCGCTATTACTTTAAAATGTTTGTATCTTGTTGTAATTTTTCTGTTGGATCTTGTAATTGAACTGTTTGTTGTGCATTGAATAATTGATATGAACAGTCTAAAAGTTGATTTGGAGTTGGTGTAATTAAAATTTGTTGTTGTTGTTGTTGATTATAAAGTTCTTGAACATTTATATCATAGACAAGTTCTGGTGAAGAATCAACACCAGTGTGATGGCCATTGAATGGACTTGAATTACAATTGGGTACTCTCATTGGTGAACTTGGTGATGAACCATCGTTCTGAGTATTAAAACCTTCAATCATATGAGAGATGTCATTATGTGTAATTTCTTGATTGTTTTGTGTAATATCAATATCTCCTACTGAAAAGAATTCGCATACTATATCATCCTGTAAAAAATAATTGCTATTATTTATATTATTGTTACTTGAATTATTATCTTGGCACGAATCCATTAAAATATTTTGTTTTGAATTTTCGTCCATAACTAAAGATAAATCACTATCGATATAATCCATTTTCTTTTTTAATTTTATTCTTTAGATAATTTCTATTATTTTAAATATTTGAGAATAAAAAAAAAAAAGTTAATATAGTTTTTTAATTTAAATTGATATGTTTTTTAATTAAATAAAAACAATATTTAAAAATAAAAAAATTAAAAAAAATATAAATGAAAAAAAAAAACCAACCATTTAATTTAAAAAAAAAAAAAAAATAATAATAATTTTTTGGTTGATTGATATTGAAATATAAAAATAATTGTATTATTATTTATTATTTATTTTTTAATTAGGTTATTTATTTATTGTTTATTTAATTTTATTTTAATTAAGTATTAATATAATTTGGATTTTGTTTTAAAAAAAAAATAAAAAAATAAAAAAAATAAAAAAATAAATAAAAAAAATAAAAAAAATAAATAAAAAAAAAAAAAATAAAAAAAATAAATAGGTTGCTGACTGTTGAGAAAAAAATAATAAAAGTAATATATAAATAAGTTTTCTGTACCAAGTGTATAAAGTATAATGCTAATTTGAGGTTATGATTATTATTTTTATTTTTATTTTATTTATATTTATTTTTATTTTTTCATAACAATCTTTAAAAATAATAAATAAAAATAAATTAAATATATTAAATCTTGTTGTTATTGTTGTTCTCTTTTATTTTCTATTCCTTATCTTTTTTGAGTTTGTATATTTTATTTATTTTTATTTATTTTTTTCTATTATTTATATGTTGTGTATATTTATATGTGTGTTGTTATAATATGTTGGTCTACCTTTAAAATTTTTTGAGTAAATTGACAAAACAAATAATAAGTTCTTATTTTTAATTAAAAAAATGAGTATTTGTTGTGTGTTTTTTTTTTTTAAAAATTGTGATGTTGCGGGATTTTTTTTATTATTATTATTTGTTTTTTTTTTTTTTTTTAATTGTTTAAAAATAAAAAAAAATAAAAAAAATAATAATAAAATTATTTTAAAAAAAAAAGGGTTAAAAATTAAATGGTGTATATATATATAGAAAATAAAAAATTTATTAACTTTTAATTTTAAAAATAATATATACAAAATAGGGGTAGTTAGTTTGATAAGCCATTATTATTAAAAAAAAAAATTGTGATCACCCATTTTTTTCATATGTATTTATAGGTTTTATAAAAAATACCCACACACTCTCACGAAAAACAAACCAACTACTCCACTACCGTCACACAGTACATATTGATTATATGTGTTATTGTTTTATAATTATAAATATGATCACACACAGATTGCAAAAATAATTCTTTTATATTTTATTATTTTTTTTTTTTTTGAATTATAAAATTAAATCTAAAAATAATGTTATTTAATAATATTGTTGTTTCTTACCCAAAAAGAATTTTTTTTTTTAAAAAAAAAAATAATAAAAAATATTATATTACTATTTGTATAGATTTATTAATTTATTTTATTTTATTATTACTCTAAATATATTAAATTTAATATAATTTTATGTTTAATTTATGTAATTATTACTATTAGTTGCTATTAATGTTATCTATTCGTCTAATACAAAAAGTGATTGTGATCAAACTAGTGCGAATTCATCAAAAAAAAAACTAAAAAAACTAAAAAAAAAAAAAAGAAAAAGAGAAAAATTTAAAAAAAATTTTTATTTTTTTTTATTTTTTATTTTTTATTTTTTATTTTTTGAGTAATGAAGATTTTAAAAAGATTCTTTTTTTCATAGTAATTTTCTTTCTAATTATTTTTAAAAAAATTTTTTTTTTAAGTTTTATGGATCATCGTCACCAAAATAAAAAGCTGGTTTTAGTGTTAGATAATGTTATTTATTCAAAATATTAATACAATAACAATAATTTAACACATCAACATTATCCAATTTTTAAGAAAAAAACTATAATGACTCATTTATTTTGAGTGTACCCCAATTTTTTATTTTTTAATTTATTTTTTTATTTATATACCTTATATTAAATAAATTATATATTTTTTTTATTTTTGTGAGATATTATAAATGATATGTTTATTTTTTATTTTTTTATTATATTTTATTTTTTATTTTTAACTTCTGACTTGGAATTTTCCAGCCTTTGTTACACTCTTAACACCCTTAAATGGTTTATATTTTTCGCTGCAAGCCAATGATTCGATATTGAGACCAGAGATTGAATATTGTGGGACTCTGAATTGAAGCATAATGGAAGGATTCGATTCTGGTGGGGCAGATCCAGCAATTAAAGAGACACTACCTTGAAGGAATGGAGTTTTTTCTTTTGGAATTTTACCAATATTCCATCTACAAACTTTGGTAGATTCGTCGATACTGAATGAACCAGTGTTAACAGTGAGGTTGGCACTGCTTGTAGATTTTGAAAAGGGTATGGTTGCAATAACTTCCTCAATTATTAATTTATTATTATTGAAGCCCTTGTGACCAACTGTAATATTCACTCTACCACCACCTTCGGAAAAACTAATTTGTGGTTTAACATAAATTGGGAGTTGATTAATACCCTTGACACGATAGTTTAATAATTTGAAATTTCCATCAGGTGGGATAAAACTTAAAACTCTTTCATTTTCCCATCTTGAATATCTTACACATGGATGGAAACTAACATCATCCAACATTCTAGGATTATTAAATGTTAATGTTAAATCTGGCATTCCACTTAAATTACAATGTACTAAAATTTCACCATTAACTTCACATGAAACAATATATCCATTACTAAATAAAATAAATAAAAAATTAATATTATTTGAATTTCATAATGATTGTTTATTTCTTAAATATTTACCTATCAATAATGCAATCAATTTCTTCAATAATATCGAAAAATATTTTATTTGCTGTATATTTAATACCAGTTTTACGCCATTGAATTGCACCTAATGAACCATCTATCGATTGTAAAATAATAAAAAAGAATGAGTAAATTTATAATAGCAATTATAAATAATAATAAAATGATATTTACTTGGTAAAACATCAGTAATATTGCTTGTGGCAGTTACTGAAGATAAAACATTTGATAAAACACCTGGTGGTTTTATCATTTCTTTTAAAAAGTTTAATTCTGTTGTGAATGGGAAACCATTGTCAGTCATTTCATCTATTAATTGATATACATGTACGAAATTATCTTTGATTGTGGCTTCACTTATATTGGATCCAAAATAATCTACAAATGTGTCATATATTCTTTGTAAAAAGTCTACTACTAGTAATGGTGATACTTCTGATTGTAAAACACCTAATAAATAAATTTGTGGTTTTTGAATATTAATTAAATAGTATTTTGGTGTTGAGATTACTGGTGGTACCATTGAACCATTTTGTTTTGATTGTAATACTTGATCCCAAAAATATTCGCATATTGATCTATTAATTAAACCTCTCCAATGTTTTTCAATCAAAATATCGCTAAAAAATTTAAATAGTATTGCTATTAGTACATATTATTTTGTAAGAAGCTATTTTATTATATATATAGTGCACTTACCCGGTATTTGCTAAAATAAAAAAACTGCTTAACATTTTTTTCTTTGTATTATATTATATGAAAAAAGAGGGGGTTTGTTATTACTATAAAACTTTTGGTGTGTAGTGTGATTTAATATTACTCTATACTATATTGTTTATTTATATTATATTTAATTCCAAAAGTTCAATAATCAAAAACACACAACGAATAATATTAATATTATAAAAAATAAAAAAAATCTAAAAAAAAAAAAAAAATAAAAAATATAAAAAATATAAAAAAAAAAGTTTTTTTTTTTTAATATTTTTATTTTTTTATTTTTTTTAATTTTTTTTAATTTTTTTTGAAAAAATGAAATAATTTGCTTCTACGTAGTTTGATAATGTAAAATAATTAAAATACTTACAAGACAAAAGGTGTGATTAAAATAGAAACTATTTAAAAAAAAATAAAAAAAATGAATTAATAACTATTTTATTTTAATTATTAATATTTTTAATTTTTTTTTTATATTCATTTTAAAATATTAATGATAATTATAAAAACCTATGTACTTTTTGGAAAAAGTTATTCTATTTTTATTTCATTTTATATTTTTATATAAACAATGGTCAGATAAGTATAATTATTTGAAAATTTAAAAACAAAAAATTAAACAAAATTTTTTTTTTTTTTTTTTTTGAATATTTTTTATATTTTTTTTTTTTCATTTTAAATTAAATATTTTTTTTTTGTAAATTTCATTGCACATACAATAAAAAAAGTGTTAAAATAAACACTGTATAACGGTCGAAATAATAATAAATAGAATAATAATATTAATATTGTATAATAGTAAGCTAATAATATAAATAATAAAAAATCCAAAAGAAATCAATAAAACATTAATAATAATAATAATAATAAATTTGTAAAATAATTTAAAAATGAAATATATCGACTCATTAAATTTAATTGGATTAAATTCATATTTAAATATGATCGATGTTGGTGATGCATTTTTGATGGGGGATTTAGAAGAATATTCTTGTAAAATTGCTGGGTCAGATAAAAAAATTTATAAATCATTAGATAAGGAATTAGAAGAACTATCAAGTACACCTCAACAAAGTTCATTGGCAACTTCAGCATCACCATCATCATCCTCAATGCTTTCGGTATCACCATTTGGACCATTATCATCTAGCACAAGTAGAAAAACAATGATTTACCTTATACAAACCCTAAATGCATCATTCCCAGATTATGATTTCAGTGATTCCAAACCCGAACAATTTCGAAAAGAACCAAGTTTAAATTTAGTAATTAATAGCATCAATGCAACTTTATCAGGTTATATTAAAGACTACTTTGCTGAATTTGAAGCAAAACTTTGGTCAACATTAGAAACAGAAATAAGCTTACAAAAATGCGATATTTACTCATATATTCCAGAAAATGGAGACCCATTCACAGAAGCTGGTGTTTTGTATGTATATAAAAATGCATGTAATATATTGCTTTAATAATAACTCTTTAATTTTTCATTATTTTTATAGGTACAGTTTTAATTACTTTTTCTATAATAGGTCATTAAAAAAAATAGTATTTTTTAAATGTAGATACATTTCGAAGTTGCCAATTCTCGATAATATGGATACAAATAAAGAGGATTTACCAGACCAAGAGGAATTGTAAGTTTTTTAATTTATTAAAATAATTATATTAATTATATAGATGCTTTTTTTATTAAAATTATTTTACACACAATATTAAAAGGGACGATGATTATTATACAGAGTATTATAATGACACAGTAGATGGAATGGAGATGAATTAGGAAATAATTAAAAGAATTTCAAGTGTGCCTCATCAATTAGCAAAGATAAAAAAAAAGGTAGTAAAAAAACAACAAACAGTTTTGTTTTTTAATTTTTATATATAAATAAATCATAATAATAAAAATAATAAAAATAATAAAATAAAAAAAATAAGATTGTACAAATGTATATTTTTGATTTAGTTTTTTTTTTTTTATATCATCATGTGTTTTTAATTGGTTGTTCCTCTTTTAAAGATATCCGTTTTTTGTTGTTTTTTATTTTTTTCTAATTAAAGAACAAAAATAAAAACACACCCATATCTTTCCACACACATTTTGTCTTTTTTTTCTTTTATGTTTTTTTTTTAATTTTTTTTTAATAAAATAATTTAAAATATAATATTTGTTTTTTTTAAAATTTTTAACTTTGTTAATCACATATAATGGACAGAAATACATTTTTCATTAGTTTAATCATTTAATAAAAAATAAATAATTTAAAATAGTTTTTTTAATAAAAAAAATAATTTTTTATATTATATTTGTCATTTAAATATTTAAAAGAAATTATTCAATTCAATTAATAAATTTAACCTCGATGAATAACAAATAATATAGGTACAATATTTTAATTAAACAATAAAAAAACCCAAAAATAAAACTATTCAACCAATTTTAACATTACATTACTTATTATTCATTATTAGTTTTGTTTATTTTATATTGTATCACAAAAGATTTTTAGATTTTTTTTTATTTTTTTTATTATATTTTTCAAAATATTAAATACATATACAAAATTTTCTTTAAATATTTTTCCTTAAAATTTTTTTACTTTTAAATTCATTGTTCCTTTAAAGCAGCCTCTATTTTTTATTTTTTTAATTTAAATCTTTTTATGATCTAAACTTTTTTATAATTATAATTCAATTTTTGCAAAAATAATATTATTAATAAAACAATTTATCATAAAAAAAAATTTATATAATACAACATACTATTTACCCCTCAAATACCCCTCAATAAAAAAAATTAAAAAAATACAAATTCACCACACATACACATAAGAAAAAAGATAAAAAAAAAATAAAATTAAATTAATTATATGTAATATTTTTTAAAATTAAAATTAATATTAGTTTAATATTAATTAAAGTTAATTATAATTATAATAAATAATATTAATAATACTAGTTTTTTTTATTTTTTTTATTTTTTTTAAATTCACCTATACTAAACACCAATTTCAACAATCTTCTATTTAAAACTAATCTTAATATACATACACTACACAGAGGTATTTTGTTTAAACAATAATTAATATTTAATAAATAGCTATACCGACCTCGTCAAAGTGTTGTTTCTATTTTAAAATAAAACAAAATCATAAAAAAATCATAATAATTTAAAGGAAAAGAACATTATCAATATTTAATAATAATTAAAGGTTATAATTGGTAATAATTGCCTTATAACATTATAATAGCAACAAAAAAATAGCATTATTAATAAACAGTATTATAAATTATTATTTAAATAAAAAACCGGATAATCTTTTTTTTTTTTTTTTTTCCCTAATATTATTATTATTATTATTATTATTTTTGTTTTATTTCAAAGTATTTAAAATTAATTTAAAATTAAAAAATAATAAAAAAATGAATAACTATTCATATATAAACAGTGTTTTAAAAATAAATTTATTATTTCAAATTGGAAAAGAAGAAAAAAAAAGAAATAGAGAAATGGTATCAGTTGAAAATTTAGAAGAAGATAATAGGAATACGGAAACTAAAGAAATAATAGAAAAGGATCAAAAAATGTGCGATATTTCAAATATTGATTATAACAATAGTAATAATATTTTACCAATTTTTAATTCACTAAAACCAAAGTTAATATTTAATAATAAAATAAACGATAATAATAATAGCGATATATATAAAGAAGATGAAATAACTATAATAAATAAAAATGATATTTTTGATAGATATGATTTCATTGATGAGAATGAAATGGAAGATCAAATATCTAATTGTAATAATAGTAATAGTTTTTTAGAAAAAAGTTTACCAGAATCAGAAAAGCTTTTAAAAAAAGAACAAAAATTACAAAAACAACAGCAACATCAATCAATACAGCAATACAGTATGCTTTATTTACCACAGGAGATTATTTTTCATATTTTTCAATTTTTAGATGTTCATTCTTTAGTCCAAATATCAAGTTCAAACTCATTGCTGCAATTAATTGGTAACGATAATGAATTATGGAAGAAAATGTCAATTGAAAGGTACGGGTGCTCTCCAGTTGTTCCAAAACCATACTTCCCATTATGGAAAACATATTTCAAATCATTTCAAATTTATAAGGGCATCTGGGATTCTAACAAAAAGGGTAAAATATTTATAACTAATAATTATAAAACTATAACACATGCTGGTGATTATTTGGGTAGTTATCAATCAGCTAGAGGTAGTGAGCCAATTGTAAGTGGTATAGTATATTGGGAATTTTATATAAATACATTAAGGTATTGTTTTAAAATAATTTTATTTTTATTTTTAAAAATATATTAATATTTCTTTTTATTTACAGTTCAAACCAAACCGGATTCCATTTAGTTGTAGGTGTTGTACCAGAGTCATTCGTAATTTGGCAAACTTATTTGACATCTAATGGTGGATGGGGATATTTAGCAGATGGAAGAAAAGCAAATAATAGTGGTAATGGTGTAACTTATGCACAAAGTTTCTGTCAAGGCTCGACCATTGGAGTTTTGGTTGATATGAACCAAAAAACTATTTCATACTTCCACAATGGTGTTTATCAAGGTGTTGCATTTAATAATATTGATGGTCCAGTTTATCCAGGTGTTAGTTTATTGACCGGTGGACAAAGTGTTTCATTTGTTGAAAATCCAAAATTCCCAAAATTATCACAAATATCATAATAAAATATTTGTATTGCTTTATGTTTAAATAATAAATCATTGATGGTAAAAGATAATAAAAAATAATTTTATGTTTTATTTATTTCAAAAAAAAAAATTATTTCCTAAAGTAATTTAAACCCGACACTTTAAAATATCTTTTTTTTTAATTTAATTTTTTTATTTTATTTTATTTTAAAAAAAAAAATTTTTTTAAATTTTTTTTTATTTTTTTTTATTATCAAAATAATTTTTTTATTTTTTATTGTTAATAGATAACATGATAAGAATAAGCAAATATGTCAACACCGATAGTAACTAATAGTATAAATATTAATAGTTTCGAAAATGGGAAAATTCATTATCAATTTTATAAATATATTCGTAATTGTCAAGAAAATAGAACATGGTTTTATATTAAAAACTTTATTTTAACATTAATCATGTTAATAAATGAAGCAGTATTTTTTTACAATTCATTACAATTTGATATAACAGGGTGTTCAATAAATCAAAATAATAATAATAATAAAAGTGGAGTAATTCATAATAATAAATTTCAAAATTACACATTATCAAATTGTATCAATTATAGGGTAGAGTATTGTATTCCATCAATTTATAGTGCCTCTGGTGACGAGTCCCTAAGTTTTAGAGTTCCTTTAGTTAGCAAATATTCAAGGAATCTTAGAATTGATGATGCCATAGTAATAACATGCAGTTGTTTATTTTTATTAGTTTGCTTATTAATTTCAAGAATTATAAGATTACAGTATATTAAGAGATCAAGAATTCAATTACTACTCACAGTGAATGTATTGGCAACTAAACCACGTATAACCAGAGAGGAAAGATTAGGTTTGTTAGGATTATGTTTTGGGGTTGTATTTTATTCATCACTAAAGCTATGGGTTATTAACACAATAAATAAGGACGTTTCAAGTATAGAATGTTATGGCCAAACTGTAGATCTGGAGTTTGCCGATAAAACATCAAATTCACTGGTTCAATCTATAAGCAATTTCTTTATTTTCTTATATTTATTCAAAGACCCAATACTTGATATATATCATAATATCACTGATATATTTTCAGATTTAGATCTTATAGATTTGGTTCGTTATGGTGATGATGAAATGATCGATCACTTAAAGAAAATTCAAACATTACCAGTCCAAAATGTAATAGAGGCCGTAAGGATATATATCGATCAAAAGTATAGTGATGAATCAAAAATTAAAAGAAAAAGCCGTTCAAATATATTTAGAGCATTCGCCTTCACTAAAAATACAGAGATATTAGAAGCTATAAATCAATATAAATTATCTCATCCACATCACTTTAAATCAATATTTAATAATAAAAGTAATGAAAATGCAACCAATACTCATTTCATTAATCAATATAAAAATTTTAATGAAGAAGATTTTATAAATAATGAAGACGATAGTAATAACAACAACAACAATAATAATAACAACAATAGTATTGATGATGATACAAGTGATGATAAAGATGAAGAAGAATCATTATCAAGTCAAGAAAATAAAAAATTATTAAATTAAATAAATTATTTAATTTTTTAAATTTTAATAAAATTTTCAAAAATTACATTTAAAATCAATAAATTCATTATAATCTATTATTTCTTTTTTTATTTTTATATTTTTATATTTTTTAAAAAATAGTAATCAAACAATATTACATTTTTGTAAGGGATTAATATGGTTATTTATATTTTTAACCACACATTAATAAAAAACTACACCCTAAACACATTAATTATCTGTATAATTTATAAATTATCAATTTATTTTATTTTATTTATTTTATATTATTTTTAATTAAAATATAGGTCGATAAAAATATATTTATATTTATTTATATTTTTTTTTTTTTTTTTTAATTTATTTTATTTTAAAATTTTTTTTCCAATTTTTTTTTTTTTTTTTGAGATTTTTTTTTTTTGTTTTATTTGTTTTGTTTTTCATATATTTTTTTTTTAAAAAAAATAATGTTATAACATTTTTTTTATACAAATAATAATAATAATTAGTTTTTAGAAATATTATTTAAAAATAAAGTAATAACACTAGTGTTATAATTAGTTTATCATTAATAGTATTATTTTTAAATAATATTTTTTTAAAATAGAAATGAAAGATTCATCAGGGTCACAGAATTATAGTAATAATAATTATAGTAACAATAATTATAGTAATAATAGTATTAATAGTAATAGTGGTAGCACACATTATGGTAGTAGTAGAAATCTAAGCCAGCAATATAATTTGCAACAAAATCAACACCAGGGTCATGAGTTTCATGACTCTGACGAGTTATTGTCAACATTAAATGATTTTATAAAAACTAACGATAAGAAATTAAGAATCGGAGCAACTCATTTAACTTTAAATCCAATATGTTTGGAATACTTAAATTTATATTTAAAGGGTAAAAGAGTATCATTCAAAGTTTCAAAGAGTGAAATTTTAGATTTACAATTTATAATTACTTTGGTTAAACATTTAAAGGTATTATATAAATATCTTTTTAAAATTATAATAATAGTTTTTATCATAATCATACTAATTATTATATAAATTTATTAATAGATTGATCCAAATCAGCCAGAATTATTAGAAAGAAACAGAGTTTTAGATTTATCAATATTTGAATCGCTTAAAGAATTAGAAATGTATTATGTAAAGCCAGGATTAATCAGCAATTTATTTTCATTATCCCAAAAAATAGAAAGATTAACTGTAAATTGTTCACTAAACTCATTGGACGAGTTATTAATTGTAGAGGATGAAAATAGATTACCATATTATGAACAAGTAAATAAAATGGTTTTTATAAATAGTGACGATGGCAAACCTTTAAATGGTCAAGAGTTAATAAATAAAAGATTCCAACATCTCTACAAAAAGAATAATATATGGTCACATTTAAAAGAATTAGATTTATCATTTAATTCAATACCAAAAATTGATATGACTGCAGTAAGTATACATAAATACATCTAAAACATATATATAAATGTATATTAAAATTAATTTTATTTATAGTACTCATTAGGTTCAGTTGAAAAATTATGTTTAGAAGGAAATTTAATTTCAACTATAGATAATTTACAAGAATGTTTATATTTAAGAGTATTAAATTTATCATTTAACAGAATTAGATCATTAGAAACTATAAATGAAGTATTGGGTATGATAACTCATCTTTCATTAAGAGGAAATCAAATTGAAAATACAGATTCACTTAATAAACTCTATGCATTAGAATGTTTGGATATCAGCAAAAATCAAATAAACCATATTGATGAAGTATTTAAATTAAACCAATTACCCAATCTAAAATATTTATTCACTGATGAAAATCCATTTTGTGAATTAAAAGATTATAGAAATTTAATAATTTTCAATTTTTTAAATAATAGTTTTAATTATTTCAATACATCAGTAAGTATCTATATATATTTATAAATAATAAATTAATAATAAATTATTAATTTTTTTTTTTCATTTCTTTAGAATATACAATTATTTTATTTAGATGGTAAAAGAATTCAACAAAATGAAATCGATTATATATATAAGCATACAATAGAGAATGGATCATTTAAAACATACCAATCACCAATTAAGGCTAGTAAACAATCATCAAAAAGTATTATACCAGTAGTTGAATTTGCCCCAAATGCCAAAGTTGATCAAATTGTATCTCAATCACCACAATCAAGTGTTTTAAATAGTATTAATAATAATAGCAGCAATAATAGAGTAATAAATGGCGTTAATAGAAAACCAAAAAGTAATAAACATAAGCATCATCACCCACATTTCAATCACACTAAAACTATTGAACCTGTAATTGATAGTTTACCAGAAGACTATGAAGAGTCATTAACAGAAAAGAAAAATCAAGATGATCTTAAATTTGAAGAAGAAAATTCTTTAAAAAAGAAAATTGAAAGCTTACGTTCTGAAGGTGGTAATTCATGGTTGTTAGTATTAAACGAAGAATCAACATTCAAAGAAAATATAAACAATTATAATAAATCTTATGATCAAATAAACCCATCACCATTAACAACTCCAACTAAAAAAACACCAATAAAAACACCAATAAAAACACCAATAAAAACACCAATTAAAAAGAAAAAATCACCTTTAAAAAATGAAAATTTAAATCAAAAGTTTAACAATATTTCAATTAAGGATGATACTCTTTCAGCCTCTTCATCATCATCATCATCATCAACTACTACTACTACTACGACGACAACAACAACAGCTGCTGCATCGCTATCAACCTCACCATATAATAATAGTAGTTTATCAACTTCACCAACAAATAATAGTATGATGGATAATAGTAAAGATAATAACAATAAAGATAGTAATAGTAATAATAATAGTAATAATATTAATGATAGTAATGGTAATAATAAACCTGGTTTATTATCAAAATCACCATCATTACCAATTTTAAATTCAGAAAATAGTTTTAAAGATTTGTTACAATTAGAAAAAAATAATATAGATAAAAATGTAAATAGTCAGGAATTAATTTGTGAACCATTTTCGATTGAAAAAAATAATCAAAAATTATTATTACAAATTAAAACCGAAGTAATGTTAGAGACCAATATTTATGGTAATACAGTAAACTCTTACCTCTTAAAGGACATTGTTTTTGTATTTGATGTACCAGAGGCTTTAGAACCAAACACTGTAGAGATTGTATTTGCTGCTAATTACAAAGATGGAATTCCAAATATGTTTACAAGAGAGTATTATCAAATGGAAGATAAAGAATCAATTAAACAAATTTTAATAGTTTTACAACCACCACTCTTTAAAGAATATACAATGAGTTGTATGCAATGCTCTGAAAGATATGTATGTAAAATGGAAAATGACTTTTTCCACTGTATAAAGTGCCAATCGAAATTATTATTCTATATTCCACACACCTCACAGGATTCATCGTTATTAATTGCAGAGTCGCCATCAGCCAGCTTTTCAAATTCACTTTCACTTAAAGACATGGGTAAATTTATAGAATACAGCGACGAGGATTTCAACAATCGCATAAGTCAAGATCAAAATGTACAATTGTTTTTCAAATTAAAAATCTTTAAGGGTAATAGCAAAGAAGTTTTCCTTTATATTATGAAGAGTAATTATATTAGATACAATCAACCTCAAGAAGAAGAAAAAACCATATACCTATTACTTTCGTCAACTACACTTTATCTACTTAACAAAAAAGATAAAAAATCTGAAGATAGTTTCTCTGTTTACATTCAAATGCCTCTTAAAGGTATTAAAAGAATTATAGTTAGTCTTTCAAGCCAAACTTTCCGTGTCGAAATGGATGAAAATCAAACCAACCCATTCATATTTTTAAAACGTTCTCAAGAAAGTACCGATAGATTTTTACATCACCTTTTTGAAGCTGCCAAACAATTAAAATTACCATTAGAAAATATTAATCGTTCAGTAGAAACTCGTAACGCTATTAACGCAATATTAATCAACGAAAATGAAGAGTTTTTAAAATACATTATGCTTCATCATAAAATAACAGGTAGAAACATCCAGCCAAAGAGTTTTATCATTACAAATGAAAGATTATATTTAATTTTTGAAAATTATTCTCAATATCCGTTATTAAATAATAATAAACCAATTAAAACAAACTCAAGTCAATTTCAAGTATTTAAAGATTTTAAGATTACAGATATTATAAATATAGTACGTATAAATTAATTAATATAGGTTTTATAATACTTTATGATATTAATTATTTTTTTTTAAATTGTAGAAATACTCAAAATTTAAACCAAATTATTTTACAATAGTATTTGAGATCGAAAATTCTAATGGCTCAAATAGTATTATTGAATGGAATTTAGTTACTGGTAATAGTGTAGAGTGTGAAACTGTAGTTAATATTATTAAAAGAGAATGGAAAAAGAATTTTGGTTTGGAATTAAAAATAATTGATCAATATTAATAAAAAAAAATACAACTAAATAATTTATAAAAATATTTATTTTCTAAAATAAAAATTAATAAAATTAAGTAAATATTTCCACATTTAATTTTTTTTATTTAAATAATTATATATTATGGTTTTCTTGTGTAATGTATATCAACTTTATAAACTATATTAAACTGTTTATTATCTTTGGTTTCTTGAAAATTTTGCATATTACTTTTTAATTGGTCTATAAAGATTTGCTTTTTTTCATCTGGTAATAATGATATATATGATTGGCTTAGAGAATTTGCAATAACTCTTTCTTGACAAGTTGATTCTGTATATGAAATTGTTGGATGGTCAATTAAATCTGGGTTTATTAAATAATGTAACTCTTTGTTTGATTTTATTTCATCAAATACATCTCTCCAATTTTCTAATAAGTGGGCTGTTGGGCTTTTTCTTCCATCGTTATTTCCATTATATTTTGAATTTTTATAGAGTTGAACAATTTCTTTTAACAACTCCGGAGAGTTTTTGTTGGGATCACTTTTAATCCATAATATAACTAATAAACCATTTGGTTTTAATACTCTTGATATCTCTTTCATTGATTCTATATTTGAAGTCCAATGAAAGGCATGGGCTACAGTTATACAATCGGCAGAGCTGTCTGGTAATGGAATTGATGTTGATAAACCATCCAAAACTTTAAAATTTAATAATTTATTTTCTTTTTCTTTAATATCATTTAATACTGAACTGCATTCCTGTCTAAAACCAGATGAAGGTTCAACAGCTATAATATTATTGAAACCATTTCTTGCCAATACCTGTGTAAATTTTCCTGTGCCTGCAGCTAGATCTAAAATTAATGAATCTTTTTCTATACCTAATTCTTTTAGTAGCTCTACAGATTCTACTGGATATGATGGTCTACCAAACGTATAGTTTTTTGAGCAATCTAGTGTTTGAAATCCATATGCTAATTTTTCAAATTTATCCATTTTATATATATAAAAAAAATAGAAAAAAAAAAAAAAAATAAAATATTAACCACCAAATTTATTTAATATACTGATTTATTCATTAATTATTTGATAGGAATTTTTTAGAGTTAGGTTTTTTGAAAGGAAAATATTATAATGAATTGAATTTAAAAATCACAAAAAAAAATTTAAAAAAAAAAAAAAAAAATTAATTTTAAAAAAAAAAATTAATTTAATAAACCTTTTTTTTTTCCCATGCTATTTTTTGATGATAATGGGTATTAAATAAAAACATACCCAAAAAAATTAATTTAAAAAATAACCGCTCCCACTAGACTTAGTGGCATCAACCTATAATCTGCTAATATTGTTTTATTTTTTTATTTTTTTTATTATTTGATAATAACCATGATAAATCTTCTTCAAGCTTATGATACTAAAGTTTTACTTAATTAAAAGTGTTTTATAAATTTTTATTTATTTTTAATAATAAATTAAACAGATTAGGTATTTACTTTTATATTCAACCAAAAAAAAAGATCTGTCAATACAGGTTAATTATATTAGGTTAATTTAGAAAAGATTTCAAAAAAGATGGAAAAAATTTACCATATGGTTTTTAAATAATAAAAAACAATAAAAATTTATTTTATTAAAAAATTTAAAAAAGCTTAAAATTATAGATCTTTATTTTGATAATGAATAGAAAATTAACTAGGGATGGAGAATTTTTATTTCTATATAATAATAATAAAAGATAAAATTGATGAAATAGAAAGAATTTAAATCTAAATAAAATTTAAAATTAAATATTAGTTTCTTTAATTTTCAAATATAATAATAATTATATAAATATTAGCATTATAGTTACCTTTAAAGTACAAATAAGCCCCAATGAATGATGAATGACCTGAAAACCACTATTAAAAAGAAGAAAGTAAACCCAATGAATAATGGGTGACTTAGAAAAACCCTCTAATGCTTGATAAATGACGTAAAAAACCCAAAGATAAACTAAACCCAATGAATGATGAACGATTTGAAAAACCAAAGCGTTTGATGAATTAAAAAACCCAAAATGTTTGACGAATTAAAAACCACAGCGTTTGAATGGCTTAATAAACCCACAATGAATGATGAAATAATTGAAAAGCAACAACAAAGTATGATGAAATAATTGAAAAACAACCCCAATGTTCAATGAATGACTCGAAAACCACAATGTATGATGAAAGATTTGAAAAACAACCCCAATTTTTAATGAATAACTTGAAAACCCCAATTAAAAAGAATATACTGAACCTCAATGATTGATGAATGACTTGAAAACCCCAATGTATTACTAATGACCTGAAAAAACAACCCACAATGTATGATGAACGATTTGAAAAAACCACAGCGTTTGAATGACTTAATAAACCCACAATGTATGACGAAAGATTTGAAAAAACCCCAGTGTTTGATGAATGACTTGAAAACCCCAATTAAAAAGAATAAACTGAACCTCAATGATTGATGAATGACTTGAAAACCCCAATGTGTTACTAATGACTTGAAAACACCGATTAAAAAGAAAATACTGAACCCCAAATGTTTGATGAATGACTTGAAAACACCGATTAAAAAGAAGATATTGAACCCCAAATGTTTGATGGTGACCTGAAAAAAAACTCCAGTGTTTAATGAATTACTTGAAAAGCACAATTATAAAGAAAATACTGAACCTCGATTTAATGGAATATATGGAACTCCCAATGTATGAATAATTACTCTTCATCCATCATTGATCTTCATTTTGTGAAAATTTAATTTTCTTTTTTTTATCTCTTCAATCTCCTTCTTTATCCCTTTCTTTTCTCTTTTTTCTATTTTCTTTTTCCATTTCTTTTTGTCTTTTCCTTTCTTTTTCTTTTCTTCTCTTTTCAATTTCTATTTTTCTTTTTCTTTCCTTTTCTTTTCGTCTCTTTTCATCTTTTTCTCTTTTATTTTTTATTATTTGTTCATTTTTGCTGTGATTTGTTAATAAAAGAGTTGGACCATTATTACTATCATTTTGATTTCTTCTTTTTTCTATTTCATCAAACTAATTCCAAGCCTCATGGACCTTTTGTTTTACTCTTCTTTCTATTTCTTGTTTTGTGTCCATGTCATTTGTTCTTTTTTTATGATTAATTTGATGCTGATCTTGATGATGATGATGATGATTTTGATATTGGTGTTGATGATGATTTTGTTGTTGTTTGTTTTTTTGATCTAACTCCTCATCAAAATTAGAATAGGTTGTTGGAACAATTTGTGGTTGTGAGTGTGGGTGTGGTGTATATTGTAGTTGTAGTTGATGATGTTGATGTTGATGCTGATGCTGATGCTGATGTTGATATTGATGTTGATAATGAAATTGATGTTGTTGTTGTTGTTGTTGGATTATTTCATCAATATCCTCAACTAAACTATAATGGGTTGTTGGGGTGTGTTGTGGGTGTTGTTGTTGGGTTTGTTGTGGGTGTTGTTGTTGGGTTTGTTGTTGTTGTTGTTGTTGGGTTTGTTGTGGTTGTTGTTGTTGGGTTTGTTGGTCATTATTATTGGTTGAAAGTTTGCAGAATAAAATAACTAGGACTGCAAAAAAATAGAAAATTAAATCTATTAATGAAAACATTTTATTTTATTATGATTGTAATAATTTGTTTCAGTAATGAAATTTAAAAATATAAAAAAAAAAAATTCAAATAAATACAAAAAAAATTTTTATAAAAAGAAAGAACTGTTTTGAAAATTCTAATTTTTTTTATAATATATTGAAAAAAATAAAAAAAATAATTATAAAGTAATAATTTAGTTTATATCTTTTTTTTATACTGATTATTGATCATTTTTTTAATTTTATTTCGATTTTTTATTTAATTTTCTTTTAAATGATATCCAAAACATTATACTAACTATTTCATTTTAAAAATGATTTTTAAAAAAAAAAAAAAAAAAAATTTATTAATTGATTTTTTATCATTTTATGATGCATACAACTGAATTTAAATTAATAATTATTCAATTTACATAAGAATAAATATTAAATTTATTTAATTATTATATAGGGGTTATTTTATATAGAAAAAAATATAAATATAAATAAAATTATTTCTAGTGTACACCAAATAAAATAACAAAACAAATTAAATTAAAAAATTGATATAATAATAAAATTAATATTTGAATAAAATTTTTATTTTTTTATAAAATATTATTTATAAATACCTTGGGGGAGCTTTTTTTAAATTGTTCATATAGACCTGTAATTCTCGAATGGTGTATTTAAACAAGTACTGGAGTATTTTGTATAGGTGATAAATTAATTAACTGTTAATCATTATTTATATTATTATTTGAAAGAGAAGGTGATTTTTTAATCTATAAATGTGATTTTTAATCTATAAAAAAAAATTAATATATAGTTTTTTTTAAGTTATTTATGAATTAAAAAAAAAAAGATATTAAAACTAAAAAAAAAAGGTGTAAATAAATAAATAAAATTATCTTTTTTATTAAATTAAAGAAATAAAAAATTTTATTTGTTTTTAAGCAAATTAATAATTTTAGATTAAAAAAAAGAAATACTTTATTTAAAAATAAGGTCTAAAATTTTATTTATGATTTTAAATAACTTTGTATTAAATTGAGTTTCTTTTATGTTTTAAATCGGATTTTACATATTTACTTTATATTATTTTTTATCTGCTATATATCTTTCTTTATTTCTTTGACTTTGCAGCCAATTAAGAATTACACATCTTCAATGGTTTTAGCAGCTAATAATTCTCTTTCGGCAATATCATCGAGGTCCAAACCGCCCTCTAATTATTTCTTTTCTTACTATCATCTGTAGAGTTAGTATTTGATTGCTACTGTTTTGAATGAATAAGTCTAATGAGCAAAATTAAATGTGGATAGTTAGATAATGACTTTAATAATGAGCTAAGGAACATAAATGACCAAACATCAAATCTTTTTTTATTTTGGTTTCTCTCCTCCGAACTATGCTGTTGTTGAGTATTACTAGAGGTTTTGAGATGGGTTATAAAAGGGTTTAATTTTAAAATTATTTGATTTGAGTATTTCGATTGCCATATTATAAGATGATGGATTATTGATTTCTCGATATTGTTGGAATCTTGCATTAAGTATTCTTTTGATGAAGATTCGATAGTTGCCTCATTATCATCTCTATTACATTTATTGTTGTTGTTTAATGAGTCAATCTGTATGCCTGATGTCATTTGTACTTGGAATGTATTGATATTGCTTTTGAATAACTAGTTTGAGTTTGAAATTGAGAATGATAATTTGAATCCTCCTTTTGTAACTGTGAATTGATTACCTGCAAATGCTTGAAACCTTTGTCTTTATCGTTTACTTCTTCTATTATTAATTTTATTATTGCATTGGTATTGTCTTCATTAATTCTTATTTGATTGAATGTGGTGACTGATTCTTGCTTATTTGCAAATATCTAGTTGTTTGATAAATTGAATATGCTATTTGTTGTTTGTTAAAGTCTAATTCTATAATTGAAACGAAATTGAATATCCTATAAATTGATTTTTAATTATAACTGTTCCATTATTATTGGTTTATGTTTCTGTTTCTGCTTGATTATTATTATTATTGTTATTAATTGGTGATGAACAATCGAAACCTGTGTAATCTGAGTTACATTTGCATGTACTTGTTGTTTTATCGCAAATTCCATGTTCGTGGTATTTAGATGAACATTCTTTTTCTGTGGTATAATATGGATATATGTTACCACTCCATGTGATTGTATTTTGACACCAATCGATTCTAAATATTTGATACTTTAGAATTTGCTGATCTTAAAAGTGTTTTTTAGTTGCACAAACATTCTTTTATCGGGTTTTAAAATCTTCAATCCAAAATATTTGATATCGTAATTGCATACTTTTCAATATTTATTCTTTCTTGAAGACTGTTCATAAATCAATTGGTTTGATGGTGTGTCTTTGCTAATGTTTGGGAATATATATATGTATATTGAAAAGCTAAATATTTGACATTCTTTATCTTTTAAAACTGCTTCACTGTTGGTATGCTTTATTTAATGGTGATACGTCTATGTGCAGTAGTTTAGTGATTGTATTTTATTTTTAATTAGTATAACATTATATAAAACAATTGTGCAGTGTTATTTTAGAAAATAAAAAAATAAAAAAAAAAAAAAAAAATTAATTTTGAATTTTTTTTTTTTTATTAAAATATCATTATTTTTTTAATGCATCCACTTTTATAATAATAATTACTTTTAGAAAAGATTTCAAACAAGATGGAAAAAATTTACCATATGGTTTTTATAATAAAAAACAATAAAAATTTATTTTATTAAAAAATTTAAATAAGCTTTTAAACTAAAGATCTTTATTTTGATAATGAATAGAAATTAACTAGGGATGGAGAATTTTTAATTCTATATAATAATAATAAATGATAAAATTGATGATAAAGGTTGACCCGGATCTGTGACCAAATGACATTAATTTGTACTTAATGAAACGGATGAAAGTGTTAATTGTTTTTGTTGATGGTATTTAATTGATAAATGATGATAGAATAAACCCATTGTTGAAAATAAACTTTATAGGAAAGAATGCAATTAATTCAGAGTAAATAGATTTTAGAATTGAAATTTCGATTTTTTTAAAATTGATTAACCTGGATTTAGATTTGGAAGGCATAAAGAATTGATGAATGAATAGAGTTGGATGGATTACTTTTCTTATTTTTATATGACATGATTGTTTTGATGATTATTATTCCATATTAATATTATTTACTCTATTATCTTTATCCTTGTCTTGATCGAATTTTGAATTATTATTTATATAATCTAAATCCATTATTTTTGTTATTTGTTTTATTATTATAATCGTTATTTGAATATGACTATTATTTATATTATTATCATTTATTTTCATTATTTTCATTATTATCATTATGATAATCATTATTATTAATATTGTTATTTATATTTATAATTATTAAATAGAAAGTATTCTAATCTTTTTAAGTTTTAAAATTAAATATTAGTTTCTTTTATATTCAAAAATAATAATAACAATTATAAAAATATTAACTTTATAAATACCTTTAAAGTACAACTAAGCCAATGAATGATGAATGACCTGAAAACCACAATTAAAAAGAATTAAGTAAACCCCAATAAATAATGGGTGACTTGAAAAAACCCAATGCTTGATAAATTACGTAAAAAACCCAATTAAAAAAGAATAAACTAAACCCAATGAATGATGAACGATTTGAAAAAACCACAGCGTTTGATGAATTAAAAAAACCCACAATGTTTGATGAATTAAAAACCCACAATGATTGACGAATTGAAAACTACAGCTTTTGAATAACTTTATAAACCCACAATGTATGATGAAAGATTTGAAAAACAACCCCAGTGTATGATGAACGATTTGAAAAAACAACCCACAATGTATGATGAACGATTTGAAAAAACCACAGCGTTTGAATGACTTAATAAACCCACAATGTATGATGAAAGATTTGAAAAACAACCCCAATGTTTAATGAATGACTTGAAAACCCCAATGTATGACGAACGATTTGAAAAACAACCTCAATGTTTAATGAATAACTCGAAACCCACAATCTATGATGAAAGATTTAAAAAACAACCCCAATGTATGAAGAACGATTTGAAAAAACCACAGCGTTTGAATGACTTAATAAACCGGCAATGTATGATGAAATAATTGAAAAAAAACCCAATATTAATAAATGACT